AGATTTAAATGCAAAAGAAAAGGCAGTAGAGCTGACTGTTTCTGTCAATGATAAGTTTAATTTAGAATGTTTGTGATAATGTAAGAAAAGTAGTTGAATTGTTTTGCTTTAGCAACTTAATATATACATCTAGAAGTAAATGCAAAAGTAAAAAGCATTGAATAATTGATGAAAGATTGTATTACTGTACTGTGTAAAAAAAGAATCACAATATTGGCAAAGACTTTTCAGTGACAATGTTTGGATTTGAAATCAAAGTAATGTATAAGTGTTGTGTTTGTGGTAAACCGCTGTGGATCAGGAGCAGACTGCTGTGTGAAAGCTGCTTCTGTAACACTTACACATGGACTGCAAACGGAGCATGTGTGAACCTCACATACAGCTCATGAAATCAGGCTTGCGCTGTGTAAGCTATTGTGCAACAATAACACGATTGTAAAAACAAAGATACAGTGCATGATCAAACATTTAGGTCAGATAAATATAGGTTTCTGAAAAATGTCTAAAAAATGCCCCCCTCCACTCCTCAAATGACAAATAATAAATCCTCTCACAAGAGTCACCTAAGAGAAGAAATCATTTTCAAAAATGAAATTCAGGCCCTGAATAAATGTCTAAACATCTTGATTGGATCATCACTATAAATAATTCTACAGGATAAGAAGAAAGATGTGTATCGGTGATGGGATCGGCAGATACTGCTCTCTGTGATCGCCTCAGATCCTGATCAGAGCACAAACCCAAGCTTTTCTGAAGATACAGGATTTTATAAAAATTGCATCTATAACAGTTTACTGGCATGTTAAAAGTGATAATGTCAATATATAATGTAATATTTTTGAGTAATATGAATTTTTAATAACACAGCTATGTTATAATTATTCAACCCTTATTCAACATTGCTGTTTTTAAGTCACTTATTTGTATGGTGGGGAACAAAATTGTCTTAAAACAAAATTAAGCCTTTAGAAACTCTAAAACTATAAAAAGAAAATAAAAAAAACAGAATTATCTTGTGGTGTTACACACACATTTAACCCATGCATGTGCTGAAGTCAGCAGAGCTCTCACAAAAGCAATAGAGAAGATTAGTTTCATTACATTAGAAAGTTAAAGGCTGCATGCAGAGTCCCAAGACATTACAACTCTATTTAAGTTTTAAATACTAAAAATTTTAATACTTTTAAAATGTCCACGTAATCAGAAACATCAATTTTTTTTGGAGACCCAGAAGGCTTGTTTTCCGATATGTTTAAACATGGTTGCAAAAATAAAACTGACATTACTCATTTACTACCCTTTATTAAACCACTGAACCCTGATTCAAAGAAAGCATATGGTGATAATTCTAACACTAACTGCGTGTTCAATAATACGTCCCAGAACACGTCCCAGGGTGCAGACCGACTCTGATGATGCATTAAGGTCTATGGAGGACCACCTGTCCACTGGAGCATCGTATACATGGGAAGAAAGTGACTTTGTGGAAGACATGGACCTTGATGAAAATGACATGACTGACCATGAAGACAAATGATCACTGGCAACAGATCTGGCAACCTGGCCATCCCAATTCCAAGTCAAAGACAATGCTGCTGACCAGTTGTTAAAGGTCCTACACAGATCTTCCATCCACCTCCCGTACTTTGCTGAAAACACCAAGGCAACCATACCACAATCTGGAATGGGATATTTCCATTACCCCCTCCATCAAAAGCTACTGGAACACCTGGAGAAGTACCCTGCTGAAGAGCTGCAAGACCATGACACCATCGAGTTGTCTTTTAGTGTTGACGGCCTACCATTATTCAAGAGCACAGGGAAAGTCACGCGGCCTGTCCTCGGTGCCATCCACCTCAATCCCAGTGTTGTTTTCCCTACAACATTAACTTGTGGAAACAAGCGGCCAAATGATCTGCATTTTTTAGAGGATTTTGTAGCAGACCTCAAAGACCTCCTGTCTAGCGGCATTCAATGCAAAGGTAAAACACATAGCATAAATGTTCTCTGCATCGTCTGCGATGCTCCAGCGAAAGCTTTTGTCCGGGGCACAACGCTATACTCTGGATATTACGGCTGCGATAAGTGTGACCAAAAGGGTGAATGGTTCAACAGAGTGACCTTTCAGGACACTGAAAACCTCAGTCTAAGAACAGATGCATCATTCAGAAGCCAGGTTCAGCCCGAACATCACAAAGACAGCACACCACTGGGCCAGCTTTCCATTGATATGGTCAAGAGCTTCCCCGTTGATTATATGCATCAATCATAAAGGGGTGATGAAAAAGCTGCTGCTTAGCTGGACCAGTGGAGCGAGAGGAGTGAGGCTCTCCAGCACTCAAACTAGAAATAAGCACTCGGCTTCTTCAACTCAGAAATGAAATACCATCCATCTTCTCTCGCACACCTCGAAGCCTGGTTGAGCTGGAGAGGTGGAAGGCTACAGATTTAGAGGATTCATGCTATACACAGGCAAGCTGGTGCTGAAAGGAATCCTTGACGATGACCTGTATCAACATTTTCTTGGTTTCAGTGTGGCTATGTGCTTGCTAGTGTCACCAACACTAGTGCAGAGGCATTCGGAGTATGCAGGAGACCTGCTGCACTACTTTGTCTGTAGAGGACGAGAGCTTTATGCTGAGGAGTTTATAGTGTACAACATCCACTCTAATGCTCCACATCACTGATGACGCTGTGCAATTTAATGGGCTTGACAACTGCAGCGCATTCAAATTCTAATCATACCTGCATACCGTGAAGAGGATGGTGCGAAGTGGAAAACACCCTTTGAGAGAATAGAGGAAAGGCGGTCATCTCCTCTTGATGTAAGTGCCAAGGACGAAGCCTTCTTGCTGCATGAGAACGGCTGTGAGATCACAGATGAAATGGAGAAAGATGGATAAGTCCTTTGCAGGGTTTATCATAATCCTCTACCGATGTTCATCGAGCCATGCCACTCCTTTCTTGTAGAAGTATACCATTACAACAAAAAACAAACATTAATGAGATGGATCCCCAGAGAACAAGTGGAGACGAGAGCAATCAGAATCAGTCATGGGACACAGTAACGTTCATGGTCGTCGTGCATCAACGGTGAATTTCTGACACTGATAATGTGAGATTTATATATAAATATATACATATACAATTGTGCTCATTTATTCATACCCTTGGTAAATATGATCAAAGGCTGTGAAAATAAATCTGCATTGTTTATCCACTTGATCTTTCAAAAATTTAAAAAAACCTAACCTTTAATTTAAAAAAAAATGAAAGTGGGGGAAAATCACATAATGAAATAAATGTTTTTCTGTAATACAGTAAGAGGACGTGTGTGTCTATGGTCCTAATGCACGGTGAGGAGGAGCGTTTGAGTGGATCACCGCTGGAGAACTGCAGAGAATAGTTCAGTCTTGGGCTCAGAAAGCTTCAAAAAAATAAAAACACAACTAGAAAAGAAAACGCTCTCATCCAAAAACAAACTCCAGTGTATTTATTTGCTAGACACGACTGGAACTTTAAACGGGACTGGGTTCAATGGTCAGATGAAACTAGAAAAATTAAGCTTTTAATTTTAAAATAAAAATTTAGCAGCAAACACTCAAGATGGGTTTGGTGCACACAGGGATAAGAAAGTTCCCCATGTGTACAATGAAATATACTGCTGGATCTTTAATGTTGTGGGCCTATTTTTCTGCCAGAGATCCTGGATATCTTGTTCAGATAGATGGCATAATGGATTCTATAAAATACCAATGGATAAAATTAAAATTAAATTAAAAACTGACATGCTAGAAATCTTATAATGGGCCATGGCTGGATTTTCCAACAGGACAATGATCCACAAACAAACATCAAAATCAGCACAAAAGCAAGTCCATTCCTCTGAGCTGAAGCCTGTAGAGGATGAGTGAGGTGAACTGAAATCTTCATGGAACATGATCTTTACTTAATATCCTAATGATTTTTGGCATAAAAGAAAAATGTATAATTTTGACCCATACAATGTATTTTTGGCTATTGCTACAAATATACCCTAGCGACTTAAGACTGGTCCAGGGTCACATTTATTCTAGAAGAAATGTGGAATAGGTGACATTTTCAATAAACTAACATTGCTTTTCTTTTCCTTAGCATGCACTATATTGTAGAATGTTTAGAAGAAGCATTGGTTGGAATTGTAGCAGAGTGCTGGACATTTGAGGATAATGGGGTATAACCTTCTGCAAGTCCAACCCATATAAATAATACAATCTTGAACGTTTACATTTTCCCAATTAGATAACAGTTAACTTTTGACTTTCTTTACAAATTTCAGCAACACTGGCCCCTGAACAATCAGACAAAATGGGCAAAAAAAGAAGAAGACATGGATCACACCAAAAATCCGTGTTTTTGCCCAAACTGGTAAAGTTCTATATATGGCAGGATATTTCCAGATTATTACTGAAATAAATTGCAATGACATTTTGATTTCCTAATTCCATTAACATTTCATCCCTAGATGATTTCGAGAGGGCATTACATATCTATTTCTGACAAAGTATTTGCTTAAAGAGATAGTTCATCCAAAAATGAAATCGGTCATCATTTACTCTCCCCAGAGTTGTTCCAAATCTGTATACATTTCTTTGTTCTGTTGAACACAAAATACATTTTGAAGAACGCTTGTAACCAAACAGTTTTTGGGCACCATTGACTTCCATAGCAGGGAGAAAAAAATAATATGGAAGTGAATGGTAACTGGAAACTGCTTGGTCACAAGCATTCTTCAAAATATATTTCTTTGCGTTCAGCAGAACAAAGAAATGTATACAGGTTTGGAACAACTCAGGGGTGAGTAAATGATGACAGAAATTTCATTTTTGGATGAACTCTCTCTTTAAGTTTTAAATACTGAAACAATTTTAATACTGTGAAAATAAATCTGCATTGTTTATCCACTTGATCTTTCAAAAATGACTTAAGACTGGTCCAGGGTCACATTTATTCTAGAAGAAATGTGGAATAGGTGACATTTTCAATAAATTAACATTGCTTTTCTTTTCCTTAGCATGTACTATATTGTAGAATTTTTAGAAGAATCATTGGTTGGAATTGTAGCAGAGTGCTGGACATTTGAAGATAATGGGGTATAACCTTCCGCAAGTCCAACCCATATAAATAATATAATCTTGAAAGTTTACATTTTCCCAATTAGATAACAGTTAACTTTTGACTTTCTTTACAAATTTCAGCAACACTATAGTTACTGGCCCCTGAACAATCAGACAAAACGGGCAAAAAAAGAAGAACTCCCTGACGAAGAGACATGGATCACACGAAAAATCCGTGTTTTTGCCAAAACTGGTAAAGTTGTATATATGGCAGGATATTTTCAGATTATTACTGAAATAAATTGCAATGACATTTTGATTTCCTAATTCCATTAACATTTCATCCCTAGATGATTTCGAGAGGGCATTAAGGTGGAGTAAAAATGCTGAATTGAATTCCTCTGTAGAAAGCGACGCTGACAATAACTTCAGGAGGCCAACCAGAAGCGATGGTATGAGAACATTACAAGCACAGTAAAATGGCTAAACATTAAAAACATGTCACATTAAACGGATAGTTCACCCAAAAATGAAAATTCTGTCATTATTTACTCGCCTTAAAGTTGTTCTAAACCTGTATGAGTTACTTTGTTCTGGTGAACACAGAATATATTTTAGATAATGTTGGTAATTAAACATTTGCTGGGCTTCACTGACTTTCAAAGTATGAAAGAAAAACATGCTATGGGAGTCAATGGGAACCAGAAACTGTTGCCAACATTCTTCAAAATATCTGCTTTTGTGTTCAGCAGAACAAAGAAACTCACACTGGTTTGTAACAACCTGAAGGTGAGAGAACTATGACAGAATTGTTATTTTTGTGAGAACTATCCCTTTCGCTTCAATAAGTGAATAAAGTGTTCCTTATTCATTTTTATTGTATTTGTTTAGATGAGTGGGGAAGCTAGCTTAAAGAGAAAGCTTAAAGGTACATCTGCAGCACATTCAGCTCCAGCATTAAAGTAATTAATATTGTGCTTACCATTCAGATGAACCCTTTCCTTGCCTCAAGGCAACAACTAAGAAAAAGGCCAGACAAAGGTATAATATTTTTCCAATACTTTTTGTGAATACTATGAGCCATAAAAGCCTGATGTGTGAAATACACTACAAACACTTGTTTTCACTGATTGAATCAAGTTTTATTTATAATTAGATTTTCCTGACTATCCTTTCATATGTCAGATTTTACAGGGCTTATTAACATTTTAATAGCATTATCTATAGTCAAATTACTTTTGACTAGTTAAAAATCTTTTTTTGTGCAAATTTTACCTCCAAAAACCCCATATAAGAAATATGAACATCTAAATACAAATAATTTACACATCCTACAATCCTAATAGCAATAAAGACTAATAATGTTTGAACTGGAAATATGTGCTTCAAAGTAATATATGTTAAGAGAATATTGAATTGCTGATGTTAAATTTCATCTAATGAAAACAAAAATCATTTTATGTTTTAACAGCAGAAGCAGCTAAACTTCCAGTTAACTTTCTTTTTACAAATACCACAGCAAATAAAGCACCATGTGAATACACTTTAGGGGTGTGTGATATACAATTCTAACTTTATGGGATTTTGTTGATAATAACAGTATTTTAGAGTTTGTTTTGTGCTAGTACGCTTTTGATATTCTTCATATTCTGTGCGCAGTGAAAACAATGGAAATCAAATGAAGTGAAGTGAAGTAAATTTCGGCACGGATTTCCCCGTGGTCAGGGAGTATAGGGAGCAATGGGGCGGGGGGGAATAAATTATCTGAAAAAATAAATTAGCCTAATTAATCTTAATCAATATTTCCAACAAACCAAGCTAAAATGAAAGAGGCTTTTCGACATGAATAGAGATCAGCTACAGCTCTCGTCTTTATGAAACCCCCCCCCCCGTGCTTCTGTGTTAGACTGAATGTCAATGACACGATTCAATTTGTATTTATAATCTGCCTAAAAATGGGTGAGACGCGAGTGAAGTGTGAGAAAAGTAATGGGGTGCATACCAGAAGCAAGGTTAACCATCACATATACCATCAACTCTTAGCTGATTGACCCAAACCATTCTTCGGCATGGGATTTAGGTAGAGTTGGGGTACTCGTACAAGAGTACAGCTTTTTTTAAAAGGACTTGGACTTTACTCGGATCATTGTTACTCGGACTCGAACCCATCACACCAAAACCACCAAAACCAGATCATGGCTCCAAAACCATGATCTGTAGCAAAGACTTTAGAAATACAAAGACTATGCACTCATATTACTATAAATGGGAGAAAGTGCAACACGAAGTATGGTGAATAAGTCCCACTTTCTGAGTAAATGAGCTAGTCACTGATTGATGAAGTCACTGCAGCTGCCGTTAGAAGCTCTGGTTCTAGAAATACTCAGTGCCCACAGAAGCACGATTAGCACTACACATGTGCACTTGCTGGTCCAGCTTCAATTATTATTTTTTCATGACTCAAGCGTATAGAAACAAAATTTATGGGACCGTTGTTCTCAGATCTTCATTGGTAATTTCAAATGAGACATTTAATCGTAAGCTTGGTGAACAGCTTTGAAGAATTTGATGTGTCTCCATTCAAAGAGATAGGAGCTGCACTTGCATGCCCTAAAGGTGTTTCAAAGATAGCCTGAAAGGGACTTTGCTTAGTATTCAGTCAACTAAGTTTACAGTCAATATATCACCATGGACATGGACACCAAGAAGAAGCTCATCTGTTTTTGTTTAATTGTGATTTACATGAGCAGATATCCACACTTAAAGGGCGATGAAACCCCAGACTACTTTTTCTGAGATGTTAGCAGATGTGTTTGTGTTGCACATCATAGAAGACAATGTTAGCATCCCATAATAAAAACTGTTGGAGAAAACTGGTCCATTTTAAGCTTTTCTGCGCTATTTTCATCTTCCACAATTTGTGACGCGGCAAAGGACTAATAGTACATCAATGACGCATTAACTGAGCACATTAGCACTTCAGCACATTAACTGAGAGAAACGTTCATGGATCGGAGGAGAGTGTTTGTTTTTGCTTTGTAATAAGAGTTCGGCACAAACACGATTCATTCACTTGGTGAGCATAACCGTTTTTACAGCTCCATGACACAAGCCGTCAAAAGGCTTATATAAACGCCACAGAATAAGCCTTAAAATGAAAGAAAGAAAGTGAAAGTTAAAAGTTCTCAGAGGTGCAACAGCGAGTTCATGCATGTGTTTTCGATGGAGAGTGCAAATGGCTGTGCATTTATTTGTGTTTTTAGCTGGATGTGAGTGAAATGAAGCTGTCTGAACGCTAAGCTGTGTGTTGTCTGTCTCTCCTCCTCCGCTCCGCTCCGCAGCACTCCACGCACACTTTATTAGCTTAAAACTGTGCTGAGAACTAACCCGTGCTGAAACAGGGCTTTCATGACCCTTTCATTTCTGGTTGTAAAATTCTTCAATCTTATAGTTTAACCTTTAATCATTTTTGTTTTTATGTTTTTTATTCCTATGAACAAAAATAATTTGAAGCCAATAAATTAAAAATTAGGATTGAACCCCCCAAAAATATTTTTTTAATTTTAAGGGTGTGTTGACACTTGTAGTTCGGTTCATTTGGTTCATTTGGTCCGGACCAAAAAGGAAAATGATACATTTGGTCCTGGTCTGCTTAGCGTTCACATTGGCATTTTTGACAGCAAACCTAAAGACCCGAACCTAAAGGCATAGTGATGCATTCACAACCTGATCGGCTTGACTGACTTATATATCGTGACGGAACTCACCGAACACCCCAAACAATTGGCTACAGTACTCAACATTGCAAAATCGTGATTTAAAGACACACTTGTACTCGTGTGAAGCATGTACACAAGAACCAATAACCACAAGAAAGAAAGGTTTAGGTTAAAGCAAGCGAGAGGTTTAAGGTATGCATGATGGTAAGTTCACCTTCCAAGCTCACACATGGTAAAAAACAACAATTATGATATTGTCATAGACAACACGATCACACACCCCTAACTGTATGCAAATACTAGTAATTTACTCTACACACTGAAATATCTAAAGCCTTCACAGAATCTTCCCACCATCCCACTTGTGACCCTTCAGTTCCCCATCACAAGATGTGCAAATCCAGCGGCGAACTGGGCCTTGTTTATAAAACGTTCGTCAACAAACACACTTGTGAAACTGCGTTGCTGCTCCGGAAAAACAAACTGTATCCACCGTTTACATGACGCTGGGTTCTTCAGGAAGCTGAACAAAGTTATCTTTCCATTACAACCAAAAACACACTTCTCTGGAGGCATTCTTCCCGAGCGAGTCCCCTGCAGCGCTGCTGAATGAAGAGCGTTGATGAGCGTGATCTCGCTCTGGCTCCGGTCGATGCGTGCGCGGGCGCGCTCTTCCAGGAGAAATGCCCATATAAGGAGTTCCACCCTCGTCTACGTCATGAAGAGCCACGATTGAAACAAACTCTCCGAAACTACGAACACGGAAGTAAGATTTTTGGCACAGAAATACTCCGTCATAAGTCCAAATTGTTTTTTGAAACTTTGTCCATGCTTAGCATGAGAATCCAACTCTTTAACGGTGTAAACAACTCTGAATGCATGAAACAGCATTGTACCCCCCCTTTCAGTATTCACATGTCTGTCTGTGTGTGTGTCATGTTAATCAGACTAATCATATTATAGGCTACTTCATTTACTCTATATTCTAACTCAGTATCTCTCAAGTGTAACCCGTTGTAGAATCGCTGCTGTCTCTTTATGAATGAATGGAATATTCATGTCAGACAATGCGGAGTAAAACAGCAGTGAACGTTCAGACTAGGGGTGTCCTGGGATTGTATAGGCTACATGCTCTATATAGTGAGACTGGCGGGCAAAGTAACCTGATGTAACGGTTTGCTTTTTTTTTTTAAACCTCCTTTATCTTCACGTTTTTTGCTTGCCATCACGAGCCCACTCTCCTTGGCAACTCAGTTTAGGTTTCTTATAAGCATTAAGCAAAAATAGATTGCATGAGCGCCCCCTTTTGTCGGCCGTGAACATCACTTAATCTGGCACTTTTTCTTTGATGATGAACCAGCCACGACTTCTCCAGAACGTCCAGATGTCCAGTCCACCCCTGATTACCCCCCACCCCAAACAAATGTGTGTATTATTTTAAAATTGAATCACATAATATTTGTAGCTACCTTATGCTGGCCATTAACAAGCATTGATTTTATTTTTATTTTTATGAGGCTTAGTGCAATTCCATTTAAACATTTGCAGTGCAAGCAACACCTCAGTTCACAATGTGGAGGAAAGTTAGCAAGTGAAGGGTATACAGATTTGGAGTGGATTGCAGCCTTACTGTTTAGTGTCCTTCAATTTGGAACAAGAGAAACTGGAGGAGTGACTTTTTACATCAGAGATTTGTCACTTTGCTCACAGCTGA